GCCTAAATTTGGCGATGGTGCCATGCAGATTTTGCTATTGGGGCCCTCGGCGGGGTTCCTTGTAGGGCCCCGAAGCGTGTGAGGGCTGCGCCGAGATGGGGCGTTGGCGCCATGCGGGCTCTGCCTCGTGGCCCCAGCTGCCCGGGATTTTGCACCGCAAGGTGCGACATTTATTTTTTGTTGTGTTGGACTTGGCATCGCTCGGACGTGTGCATTTTTCCTTCGGCGAGGACCATCGAGGAGCATCCTTGATCATTCGGCGGAAAAACCACGCACGAAACCGAAAAAAACACAGGGAATGGACGTCCGAGCGATGGCCAGTGGAGGGATGGTCTGAGGGAGCCGGTGGTTGAATTCCCACCCACCCTTGCTGTGTCAAGCTAGGCTTCAGCGTTGCTGCTGCGCTGCCTTCCTGACGCTGTTGTCGCCCGGGGCAGCCGACATGATACTTCACGTGGGGCCGCTGTTGTGGGCCGAGTTGGGTTTGGGCGATTTTGCAACTGATGTCTTAGCGGCCGGCGGAGTACGAGACATAGGAGGAGAAGGATAGTGATGTTGCGTGGCCGACAATATTTGAGCATCAGGACTGCGACAAGGCGCGCTTGTGATGGACAGTCTGCTGTAAGGAGGGGGTCTCAGAAGCGGCAACGACCACTATTAAATCATCTCTCGTCGTGATTCTGTTGCCTGCGCCCAAATCTGACCAACAAGCTACACACGCACCATAGGCTACATAGGCATATGTCTTCGAAGGTCTTTGCTGATTTCCTGGTTCGTGTCAGGGGATCTAATGACGATCCAAGATATCCGCGCGGTCCTTGAGGTTTATGTTTACGTATGGACTTGCTTATTGTTATTATTATTATTAGTATTAGTATTATTATTTTCCCCCTCCCTCCACTGGCCGCTTCCTCGGAGGGGGGAGAGGGCGGGTGAGTCGGATGCCTATGAGAGGTTACTCGATTCTTCGATTGCTCCTTCTCGTCGCCATGCTCTGGCGTGGTGGGGTCCCCGTCTCACCAGTTGGGAAGTTGGCAGTCTCCATCATCAGGGTTTGGCCATGATGTAAGATCATATCAGTCGAGACGCCGAAATGGGGACAGGTTTGTGGGGCTCGGGAGGGGCCGTGTTGTTTTGTTCCCTTCCGTGGATCTGGATCGGGAAGGTCGTTCGTGGCCGAGGCCCGCCGTGGCAGGAGAGAAGCCTCCTTCGCTCCTCCATCGCCGCTCCCTGCGGTATAGCACGACGGCCGAGGCCTGTGTGGACCGGCTCTCGAGGTGGGCCCGTCCTGCGGTCGCACCTCCAGAAAGCCCCCGCTTCTCTTCTCGGGCCGGACGAGAGGGGGGGAGTGGGACAGGGGGGGGTACGAAATCTGCTGCATGCCGCTGGTTTCGGCCCCGCCGCCGGGCCCATTTCTCGATACATGGGCGCCTCCCAGCGCCGGGAGGCGCCGGGAAAATCAGCTACGTGAGCTGGTTCTCAAACCCCCCCTTTGCTATCGCCCCCTTTCGCCCGACCCGATTTTCACGAAGAAGGGAAAACGGCATAAGCTAAAACCAGTGGTGTTCTGCGCGGATTTCTTGGATCCGCGCTTGGCCCCCATCGGCGGCGCCTCCAGCGCCGCCCCTTGCGCGCTCCGCGCGCAAAGGGAGGGGGGTCCAGCGCAGATCCAAGAAATCCGTGCGGAGCGCCAAAAGTGTATGTTTATGTTCCTTTTTCTTCGTCCCTTTCCCCCCCGAGCACCACGGCCTCTCTGCCGCCGCCGCCCCTCCCTGTCCGGAGGACGACCGTGAAGACCGCGGGCGAGGCGGGAAGAAGGCCCGCCGGATGTTGCGGCCTTTCCAGCCGTCGGCACGCTGCGTGGCGCCGTGCGTCGGAGAAGAGTAACAATTACATAAACAGATGTCAGTCAACGTGGACCCGCAACAGTGTGGTCCAGCGTGCTATACAGTGCAATTCCTTCGGTGCAAAGTAGTTATGCGGTGCAACCTACGCGGTGCAATATCTGATGGCTTTCGGCCCTCCCCGCCACCGTGCCTGGATTGTGGATCAGAGTTCTCAGGGATGCTGCTTCGCGTCTCTTCGGGGCACTCTCGGGGCTTCTTGGGAGCAGTTTGTGGGCGTCTTGGGAGCCGCCAATTGGGGGGCTCTTAGAGCCTCTTGGGGGCATCTCCGGGGCCTCTCGGGGCCCTCTTGCGGGCCTCGTGGGGCCTCTTGGGGTTCCCCTGGGGCCGAGGGCTCGAAATGTCCTTTCGGATTTCCCATCTGGACACCCTGTTGGGGCCGTTTTTGTGCCCTCTTGGGCCGTCTTGGGCACCTCTCGGGCCGTCTTGACGCCATTTGGGCCGTCTTTGGGCCCTCTTGGGAGCCTCTGGGGCCGTCTTGGGGCGATCTTTGGGACCTCGTGAGCACTTGAAGCGTCGGGAAACCGAGAGGCTCGAACGCTGACATCCTTCAAAATCGGATGGAATTCAGTGATTTTGGCATCCTTGGGGGTGCTGTTGGAGGCCTCTGGGGCCGTCTTGGAGGTGCCTGGGGCCGTCTCGAGACGGTTGAGAACGTCGTTGAGCTATGTGTCGGCACGTCGGGGGTCTCCTGGACAGGTGTGGGCGGGCACAGCGTCCGGAGGACCTGCAGGAAGCACCCGGGAGCTCACGGGAAGCAGCCCCGGAACCCCGGGGACGCCCCAGGACGGCTTGGGAAGCGATCTGTGCGGGCCCTACCCTCCTCCTCCTCCTCTTCCTCCTCCTCCTCCTCCTCCTCCTCCTCCCCCTCCTCCTCCCCCTCCTCCCCCCTCCTCCTCCTCCTCTCCTCCTCCTCCTCCTCCTCCTCCTCCTCCTCCTCCTCCTCCTCCTCCTCATCCTCCTCCTCCTCCTCCCCCTCCCCCTCCTCCTCCTGGCTGTTTCAGCAGCAGCAGCAGCAGCAGCACAGCCTCTTACCCCTCAGTGTAACACGAGCATGAGCCGAGGTGCATTCCACCTCCGTGCCAGGAGGACGGTGGCGGATATGTCGTGCAATCTACGTGGGGCAATATACCGGGCGTAATGTATGTGGTGCAATCTGTGTGAAAATGTGTGTACATGTACGTTTGTGCGTGGTGCAACGTATGTGGTGCATCGTATGTGGTGCAATCTATGAGGTGCAACCGAAGTGGTGCAACCTATGCAGTGCAATTTTTGTGGTACAGAATACGCTTTGCAAAATCTGTGGTGCCATCTACGTGGTGCAACATATTTGGTAAAATGGGTTTCAACAAACGATTTGACACATCCCATGCTCTTGCAAGCATCCCACCCACCCACCCGCAACTTGGTTTGCAAAACCCATGCGGTGGCGATTGCGATGTATGCTTGGCGTTGACGTGTGCATCTCTGTGGCCGAACCAACCCCAACATGCTCGCAACGGCCAGCTAGTTCGGCGCCGCCGACGCGGCCGCGGTGGCGCTGACCGCTGGGCACATCCCAGCGGGCACTGCACTGCGAGTCGGCGACTGGGCGGGCGCGGTATCATGGCAACGTCGACAACGGTAGACACGATGATGATCGTAGGGATGCTGGCGACGATGTTGACACCGACGAAGGCGTTGCCAGTGTGGGCGCCGATGATGATCACGCCGACGACGAAAACGGCGTCCTCGCGTCAGTGATGAAGGTTTGGGCGAGCGTTCCACATGCGCGCGCGGCCGCGCGGGGGGGGGGTCAAGTAGATGTTGGGCGAATCTAAGCGGTGCCATCCACATGTTTCAATCGAAAGTGTACAACCTAAGCAGTGAAATCTGCGCAGGGTCATCTATGTGGTGAAACGCCTTTGCAGTGCAAACTCTGCGGTGCAATCTAAACCGTGCGAAAAATCCACTGCAATATATGTGGTGTGAGCTACGCTGCAGCGGCAACGGGCGGCGACGGCGACAACAAGCGCGGCGACCGCCAGCCAAGCCCAAAAGCAGCGGCGACGGACGGCGGCGACGGCGACGACATTCGCGGCGACCGCCAGCCAGGCCCAGAAACAGCGGCGACGGACGGCGACGACGGGCGGAGACGGCGACAACAAGCGCGCCACACCGCCAGCCAGGCCCAGACGACAGAGCAGCGACGGAGACAACATAGCCGCGAGACTGCCAGCTTGGCCCAGTTCCCTGAGAGCAAGAAGTAAGGACCCCTAAGTGTAAGCAACGTTTGTGGACAATTGGATCCCTTCGGTGGTGCCTCCAGCGCCGCCCCTGGCATGCTCCGCGCGCCAGGGAGGGGGTCCAGCGCCGATCCAAGAAATCTGCCTGGAACTCCAGAAGGAACGGCAGTTTTTCTTGTACTCGAACGTATAAAGCGCATGATGTGGCCTCCAACCCAGCCAGTAGCTAACATAACGCCCTCCGCTTCACCCACCCCTTTGCAGCAACGCCTGCAGTTTAGCGCACAGGTACGTTGTCCGTAGCGCGCGCAATGTGTTATATTAGATGCCAGCGAACCCACCCACCCACCCACCCACCCACATAACGCGGGCTATACGTGTTCGAAAAATTTGCGTCCAAACTAATGTGTATGCAGTTGCTTTTTCTTCGAGCCACGTGCGGTGGGCACCGATTGCACGCACCACAGCCTGCCGCGTATGGAGCACGATGTGCCAGGACGTAACGTGCTCCGTGGTCCTGCGAGCACGCTTGGGTTTGCTTACTTCCAAGGTGCAGGGCCACGGAGCAGCAGCAGGGGCAGGGACGATGGGTGGGACTCGATCCGCCGCGCGCGTCGGGGAGGGCTCGGAGGAGGGGTCCCCGAAACCCGGATCCTCCCACCTCGATCTTCCGGGCACCTTTCTCCTCGTTCTCCCTCGGCTCCTCTGGAGACGATTCGGCGGGATCCGAGGATTGTTCGTTCGTTCGGTCGTGCCTCTCTCTTCCCCCCCCCCTCCTCGTCGAGCGGGGGTGGGCCCCGAGCTCGGGCCAGGCCACGCGGTCGGAGAGTCGGGGGAAGTCCACGGGCGCGGCTCGCGCCCCGTCCAGCAGGAGGACGAGGACGAGGCGAGGGCGACGAGCATAGAGTACGACCCCAGCGACAAGGACTCGATGGTCAAGACCGTGTCCAGGAGCTCGCCCGTCCCTCCTCGTCCTCCTCCTCCTCCCTCCCTCCTCCTCCTCCTCCTCCTCCTCCTCCTCCTCCTCCTCCTCCTCCTCCTCCTCCTCCCGCCCCTCCTCGTTTCCCTCCCTCCCGCCCCCCCTCCCCCTTGCCCCCCCCCCCCTTCCTCGCCATCCCCCCCCCCGCGCCCCCACCACCTTCCCTTCCCTCTCCCCCCCCCGAGGCACGAGCGGCGGCAGAGGCACGAGCAGCACTCACGAGCAGAGGCGGCATGGCGACGAGAACACGAGGTGGAAGCAAGATCACAACAACAGCAGCAACAACAACAACAGCAACAACAACAACAACAACAACCACAACACCAACTGCAGCAGCAACAGCAGCAACAACAACAACAGCAACGACATCGACACCATCAACAACAGCAACAACAACGACGGCGACGGGGACGATACCAACGATTACACCAGTTACAACACCAATACCAACACCAACACCAACACCAACAACCACACCAATAATAACACCATCAGCAACAACACTCACAACACCAACCTCAATAACCACAGTATCAACGACACCAACATCAACACCAACAACAACACTTACAACAACAGCACCAGCATCAGCAACACCAACACCAACAACAGCAATTGCAGCAGCAACAACAACAACTCTAACACCAACATCAACACCACCAACATCAACAACACCAACACCAACATCACCACCACACAACAACAACAACAGCAGCACCATCAACACCAACACTAACAACACCACCACCAACAACACCACCAACAACACCAGCACCAACAGTCAGTTTAAGAAGTTTCGCTCTCATCTGCTCGCGGGCCATGCAACACGTATATTCGGAATGTTCGATGCCCATAATTTTTGTGTTCGACCGTACACTCTTAGGGGTATATCTTTTTTACTCGCCACGTGCATTTCGTGCAGCCACTGATGTAGGGGAAGGAACAGGGGGCAAGGGGCAGGAAGGAAGGATGGAAGGAAGGGACAAGTGGCAGGCGGGTTGCTGAAGCGTGCGGCCTGCATGAATCGCGAGGAAGTCTCAAGCGATAACGCGATTCCCAACAAACCTTGAGGACATCCACAGCGAGAGCGTGATTCCTGAGTGTGGAGGGCGCGGCGCCTGAATAAATTTGAAGTAAGTTCACGCGAGAGCGCGATTCCTGTATACATTGCGAGGAAGTCCCGCGCGAGAGTGCGATGCGGAAATACACCGTGAGGAAGTCAGAGGCGGGAGCCGTTGTTGTTGTAAACAGGGGGCCAGGAGCACAGTTCGGTGGCCCCTTGGCTCTTCCTTGTTAAAAAAGAGGGTGCAAGTCCGAGGAGGAGCACGTCGTTTGAAGAAATATCAAGGTTACCAGAGGTGGGGATCAACAATAGTTGTCTAAAAATGAGGATCCAGCGGAGTAACCCTCCACCCAGCCCCACGTCTGGCAGGCTGGCGCGCACGGAGCGAGAGAGCCCCGTCGCCGGCCCCTTTGGGGGGAGCGCCGCCAACGGACGCGCGCGCCATGCACCAACCTCCTCCTCCTGCTCCTGCTCCTGCTCCTGCTCCTCCTCCTCCTCCTCATCCCTCTTCCTCCTCCTCCGCCTCCTCCTCCCTCCCTCCCTCCCTCCAGGCGCTCCCAGGCGCTCCCGGGCGCTCCCAGGCGCTCCCAGGCGCTCCCAGGGCCCTGTGCGAGCTTACAGCGAGAGCTTCGCTGAGACTGTGGCCGGAGCTTCGTTGTCGGGCCCCCTCCCCCTGGGCCAGCCAGAGGGTCCTCGCACCGTGAGGGAGATGTAGCGAGCACTGCAGCATGAACTGCAGTGGGAGTTGTGTCGGTTGCTGCACTGGGGGCAGTAGGGGGGGCTGTAGTGGGAGCTGTGGAGGGAGCTGCAGTGGGAGCTGTAGCGGGTGGTGCACTGGGAACAGTAGTGGGAGCTGCAGTGGAAGCTGTGGCGCGAGCTATACTGGGAGCTGCAGTGGGAACTGTAGCGCGAGCTGTGCTGGGAGCTGCAGTGGGAGCTGTACTGAGAGCTACAGTGGGACCTGTATTTGGAGCTGCAGGGAGAGCTGTACTGGGAGCTGTTGATCCCATCATGGCGATGGAAACAACATTATTACGGAAATCCTAAAATACAAGTAAGTGGAGAAACAGTGAGCCAGAATGGCTGGCGGCGAGGAGGAGGAGGAGGTTGCAGGAGGAGGTTGCAGGAGAGGGCAGTGGAAGAGGAGGAGAAGGAGGTGGAGGAGGTCGACGACGACGAGGGCAGGATGCGGAGAAGGAGAATCTTGAATGGTGCGGTTGCCGAAGGGGGTTGCCGCGATGGCCCCGTGCGTGACAACCCCTTCCCCGGCCCTGTGGGCGGCGCCGCGTCCTGCGACCCTCGTCCACAGGAACCGGCGTGCCCCCGGCCTCCCGAGCACACCGTTTCCGTGTTTTGTGTGTATGTGCGTGCTTGTTTGTACGTTTTTGCGTGCGTGCGTTTTTGCGTGCGTGCGTGCGTGTGTGTGTGTGTGTGTGCGTGTGTGTGTGTGTGTGTGTGTGTGTGTGTGTGTTGTGCGTGCGTGCGTGCGTGCGTGCGTGCGTGCGTGCTTTCTCGTGTGTGTGTGTGTGTGTGTGTGTGTCGAGCGCAATTTGCTGTTTTCTGACCTGCGCCATGTCGCTGTGCACAGGGCCTCGACGCCGAAGAGTGTGTGTGTGTGTGGGTGTGTGTGGGTTTGTGGGTGTGTGGATGCGTGTGTGTGTGTGTGTGTGTGCTTGTTTGTACGTTTTTGCGTGCGTGCGTGCGTGCGTGCGTGCGTGTGTGCGTGCGTGCGTGTGTGTGTGTGTGTGTGTGCGTGTGTGTGTGTTGTGCGTGCGTGCGTGCGTGCGTGCGTGCGTGCGTGCGTGCGTGCTTTCTCGTGTGTGTGAGTGTGTGTCGAGCGCAATTTGCTGTTTTCTGACCTGCGCCATGTCGCTGCGCACAGGGCCTCGACGCCGAAGATGTGTGTGTGTGTGTGTGTGTGTGTGTGTGTGTGTGTGTGTGTGTGTGTGTGTGGGGGGTGTGGGGGTGTGTGGGGGTGTGTGGGTGTGTGGATGCGTGTGTGTGTGTGTGTGTGTGTGTGTCTGCGTGTGCATGTTTGCGTGCGTGTCTGCGTGTGCCCCGCACCCTCGATGCGCCAGCAGCGCTGGCGACCCACATGCACTGCTGCCGCGGGCACGTGCGGCAGGCCATGCGTGGGCATGTGGCTGGTCGTGCGCGCGTCGTGGGCGCCCCCGTGCGTTGGCTGGGTCCGCCGAGGTTTCACTCGGTGGGCGCACGGCGGCACCCGCGTGGGGTCCGTTGCACCATCTGATAGTGGCGCGGGCCAGATCTTGCACCGCAGTTTGCACTTAGCTTGCAACGCACAGCTCGCACAACCACACGCATTGCAGCGCATCGCTTGCACCGCGCAGATGGCATTGCGTAGCTCGCAACCCATGCATTTTCTTGTTCAACCGAATACAGTCAGCGCGCCTAGTAAGGACGCGAGCCTTCATCTAGGATACCCTTGCGTTCTTGCCTCTGTGGCCCGTCCTTTGCCGTTTTCACTGGTCGCCGCCGCCCAACAAATCCCAACTTCAGCCTCCAAGGGTCTTGCGTCCTTACCACGCGTCCTTAATATACGTTTTGACTGTAACTAGGCTCTACCACCCTGCCCCTCCCAGACTTCTCGGCGCTCTTCGGGGCACCCCTCACATTGCATGTGAGTCATCTGGTGTAGCTTCGTTTATGATTGCCCACATGAAAGCATACTGTCCCAGTCAAGCGGGCATCCATGTCCAATCATTGTATGCACGGCCGCCCGCGTCTCGCGAAGCAATTCCACGCGCGGGCACATTTTGAAGCCATACCAAACAAGCTAGGAATGCCAAGATTCCAACATGCAAGCATACCTTTCTCCCCGCGCGTATTTGTTGACACCGTAGGGGGATCGTACGGGCTTAGCAAAACTGCGCCGATCCGAAAGTTTCCCCCATTTCGCCACCGTGCTGGCCGCGGCCATCTGGGGTGGCGCGCGCGGGACAAGACTCGCGGGGCCCGAGGGCGGATGGTGGCGATGTCGCGAGGGCAGAGTCGGCGCGCCGATGGGCAGCCCAGCGCCCCGATTGGTCGGAGGGGCCCAGAACAATGCAAGGGCAGAGCCGAACCTCCGCCCGGGGTCGCGGGATCGGGTTCCCCTTCCCAATTTGAAATTGTTCGGTCATGCTCCGGACCGAACAGTTTATCGACCGACCTGAAGGTGGCCAAATCCCATAGAACTTGTGCCCCAAAAAATCCGGGTCCGGTTCGAACGGCCCGAGAATGTTCAAACCGCCTAGGACCCATGGCAAAAACATTGTTCTCGAGGTCTTCGGGCCAGCTCCGAAGAAACCGAGCATGTGCAAACCGCTTAGATCTTGCTATGAATAATGGTTTCTCGGTGGTTCCGGGCATCGTCCTAAGGGGCCGCCGATGGGCAGACCGCCCAGGACTTCCTGCGCAAGAAACTGTGTCCCGGGTGAGCCATTGTCAACGAGAACGCGCCCCGCGCGGGATCGGGGTTCGCGCGGGGGCGCGGCAGCTCTTGCGTGTCCAGGGGGCATGCGCTGTCGCGCCCTTCCAGCATTGCGTTTGCGCTGCATTCGCGCGGCGCCGTGCCTCTCAAATCGGAATAAACTTTCGGAGCGCCGATGTATCGCCCAAAACTTGCGTTCTCATCTTACCACGCGGTGCATCCACGCTGATCCAGCATGCGCCCAATGCCCGAATCCGCGTCAAATAATGTCATGTGGCCACGCCCGCGCCGCCACGCCAGTGTGTGTGTGTGTGCAAATCCTTCCACAGCCATTGGGTTCCGACCCATCTCACCATGTTAGAGCTTTGCAGCACGCATTCGAAACACATGTTTAGCAACAAGGAGTTTGCCAGGGTTCGTGGATTCCCGGTCGCGCACGTCCTCGCCATCACCCTTATCAGCGCCTCTGTATCATGTCTTCGTCATCGGCAATCGCCGCAATTGCCGCAGTCATCACCCAAGCAAGTCCATCAACGACACATGAACATCATCATCATCATCGCCATCGCCGTTGCGCCAGCATCGGCCCCGTCATCAGCCCTGCCGTCGCCATCGTTACCATCGCCACCGCCATCGCTACTATCAGCATCGCTGCTTCTGTTGCCGACGTCATCATGATACCGCGCCCGCCCGAGCCACCGCCCCGCATGGAATCGCCCGCGCGCCAGCGCGGCCTTTGGCACGCGTTGGGACGTCGCGATCGGTAAGCGCCATCGCGGCCGCACCTGCTGTGCCAAACCCGCTGGCCCCTCTGCGCACGAGCTTGCGCGCGCCAGCACGGTCGAACAAATGCTCCAGCCGTGGCCAAGCAGTCATCGCAATCACTGCCGCGTTGACTTTTCTTAAACCAAGTTGCGGGTGGGAGGGTGGGATGATTGCGCGAGCAGTGGGGGGGAGAATTCATGAGTTGGCAACAACTAGCACTGCCACGCATATTCCACCACATATATCGCACCGCATACATCACTTATCCAGGGTGCAATGACACACTGTTTGAGGCCCCGTTGGTAAAGCATTTTGATTCTAGTTGTCCGCGCCAGCCATATCATAGCGTCCGAAGAGCACACCGAGATGGTCGGATAATTTGCCGATTGCCGAAAACGTTGCGAGCCGATGCGCCGCCCACCGCAGCCATCATCCGCAGGCACAGTGATTTGCGTGTGTGAAATTTGTCGTCAGCACTGGTGCCCTTGCTGTTCCCGACGTCCTCGCCTCCTGCCTTCTCCGACACGTCGCCGCTCCCTCTCCGCTATTGGTTCCTCCGCCGTTTCGCAGGTTTCCCCTTCGCTCCCGCCTCCTCGCTTGGTGCGTGGCACCGATTCTTTTGGGCGCCCGCAGTGGCGCGCAAGGCATGGTGGTGCCAACGTCGAGGGCTGGAGCTTCGCAGAGAAACATCTCCCACCTATCTCCGCCCTTCGGCTTTTGTTGCCCAACCTGATATATCTTTGTGATGGCCCGCGTTGCGCACCTGCCCCCCGCAACGTCACCTCCCCCCCACAACGTGACGCTCCCGTTGCGTCCACCGCACTGCCGCCGTGCGTCCTGCATCACGGCTCGTGGTGCTGGGCCCACGGCGGGGGGGCAGGGCTGTCGCGCTGCACCGCTCCCCCCTCTCCCCCCCTCCCCGCCCCGCCCTCTCGGCGCCCGTTTTCGCAGCGAGCGAGAAGCTCCCTCCTGACCAGCCCGCCCCCCGATCCTATACCAGCCTGGAACATATCCCTATCCCTATGCTGGGCACCTCCTCATCACGATGCCACTCTTAAGGGTTCCCTTACTTTTTGAAGGCGAATCCCTAAGATTGTCATCGCCTTTGGGCGTGTCAATCTTGGGGATAGGGGTATGTTCGAGGCTGGTAAATCCTGACCTTCATCTGCTCCTCGCAGGGTCCTGGCTGGTCGCCGCTGCCCCCGGGGGGGGGGGCGCGGCGGCTCGCGCCGCGGTGCGCCGCAGGATGGTGAAGCAGCTGAAGAACATCGAGATCCAGATGAAGGTCCTCGTCAAGGAGCGCGTGCCCGTTGTCCCTCCCTCCCTCCCTCCCTCCCTCCCTCCCTCCCTCCCTCTCCTCCTCATCCTCCTCCTCCTCCTTGCCAACGTGTGCCTCGCGCAGAGCAGGGGGGCATGGGGAGGGTGGAGAGGGGGCGTCTCGGAAGCGCCCCATGCTTCTTTGGAAGGTGGGCGGGCCTGATCTGTAGATGCAAGGCCCGCGCCTTCGAGAAGCAGGCGTGCTTCCAAGAAGCCGCCCCCCTCCCCCACCAGCGGAGACCCATGCTAGGAGACACCCTGCTTGCCTCCAGGGTGCAATGGGGTTCGATGGTTTTGCTATGGAAAGCGTGACATTCCCACGCCAAAAATCAATGGACGTACTGGGTTTTCAGGGTTGGGTTTTTTGTGGAAGATGTCTCGTGGACGAGCTCCTACTGTACCCCTCGTGGGCGCGCCGCCCAAAAAAGGAGCGCCTGCCCGTTACCACCGGTGGGCGGCCCCCCCCCTCCCCCCTCAGCGGTTCGCTTTTCTCCTCAGGAGGAGGAGGAGGAGGAGGAAGAGGAGGAGGAGGAGGAGGAGGAGGAGGAGGGGGAGGAGGAGGAGGAGGAGGAGGAGGAGGAGGAGGAGAGCGGTCGCGAAGCGTGTCTATATAGTTAGGCCCTAGCCGCACGCCCAGCCTTGCTCAGTACCTTAGGTACAAGATCCCTTTTCTCAACGACGGAGATACGCCCTGCCTGTGGATGTGTTGAGCGCACAAGGACCAGTCGATTTCTTACTGAGAAGTGTCTGACCGATGGACCCGCAACTGCCATACAACCATGTGGCCCGTTGGCACCAGAAACATTCACGACAGGGGATCTCCGATCTCCGACGAGGGACGGGCAGTCTTTTGTCCACATTCTTTTAGACGTCGACAGTTGGCTGAACATTGGATTCGTCCGCCCAGGAGAAGGAGGAGGAGGAGGAGGATATAGAGGAGGAGGAGGAGGAGGAGGAGGAGGGAGGGAGGAGGAGGAGGGGATAGAGGAGGAGGAGGAGGAGGAGGAGGAGGGAGAGGGGAAGGGGAGGGAGGAGGAGGAGGAGGAGGAGGAGGAGGAGGAGGAGGAGGGGGAGGAGGGGGAGGAGGAGGAGGAGGAGGAGGAGGAGGAGGAGGAGGAGGAGGAGGAGGAGAGGAGGACTTGTAAGAGGAGGAGGAGGAAGAGGAGGAGGAGGAGGAGGACGAGGAGGAGGCGGAGGAGGAGGTCACCCCGGGAGAGGTCCGGGAAGCAGTGCTACGTATCAGTACCTCGTGGTTTCCCCGCTGCTCCCTGGGCAGGCCCATCCGGAAGCCAGGGCTCGGCCTACACGGTGCTCTGGCGATCTCGTGGACCGTTTTCGTCTTGGTGTCGTTTTGCAGCCGAACGAAGACCGAACGAGGGAAAGCGAGCACAAAACGAACACGGAACACACTGGTTAGGTCGAGTTTTGGCCGAACCCAGGAGTTGTGTATAGGCCCTCCTGGCCAAGCCAGCAGGGCGTGGTATATACAGTTTTTCTGGCTTCAGGATGGGCCTGGCCAGGGAGCAGTGGGTATGCGTAGAGTTCGTCGCCCTTCAACTGTGTTTCCCCGTCCCCACTTGCCACACGGCTCACACAAGAGCCGCATCTGGCCGAGGAGGGGAGCTGAGAGAAGGACAGCATGGCCCATCGCGTTCCCTAGCGCACTCCCTTCTCTTAGGGTGCAGTTCCGGGGGGAGGTTCTCTTCGGCATCGGCGCGCCGCTGGTAGATCCGTGGCCGAAGACGGGCCGCATCCCGCCTCATTCCGCTGAGTCCCGCTCAATCCAGCCGAATCGGACTTAATCCCAGGCTTATTCCGGCTTGATCTGGCTCGATTGCCCCGTAATTTGGCTCAATCGCCCTTTCTCGACCTCGCGAAGCGCTCCCAGGAGCTGTTTCCTGGCCTTTCCTGCCCCTTCCATCCTAGCAGCTTCCCTCTGCCTGCCCCCCCCGCCCCCCCCTGCAGCCTACTTCTCCTTGAGCCCCCCCCCCCCGCCCCTTCCTCCTGCAGCCTCCTTCCCCTCTGGCTCCCGCTTCTCTTCCTCCTGCGGCCTCCTCCCGCCCGCGCTCCCCCCCCATCCCCTCCTCCTCCTCCCACTCTGCCCCCCCTCGCCCCCTCCTCCCGCCCGCGCCCCAGGAGCTCAGCCGAGCCCAGAGCACGTTCCCCTGACCTCCCTCTGGGCTGCGCGGCCGCGCACTGGCCCGCCGGGACTGGCTCCCCTCCTGCCGCTCCCTTGGCATCGCTCGGACGTGTGTATTTTTCTTTCGGCGAGGACCACCGAGGAGCATCCTTGATGAGTTGGCGAAAAAGCCACGCCCGAGACCGAGCAAAAACACAGGGAACGGACGTCCGAGCGATGGGCCAGCTCCCCACAGCCGCGCGGCAGGACGAGGGCGAGGGGGGGCCCGCGAGGGAGGCCCGACATGGGCACGTCCTCCTCTCCTCCTCCTCCTCCTCCTCCTCCTCCTCCTCCTCCTCCTCCTCATCATCATCATCATCATCATCATCATCATCATCATCATCATCATCATCCTACAACTCCTCCTCCTCTCCTCCTACTCCTCCTCCTCCTCCTCCTCATCCTCCTCCTCCTCCTCCTCCTCCTCTTCGTCGTCCCCCTCCTCCGCCTCCCCGTCGTCCTCCTACTGATCCTCCCCCTCCTCCTCCTCCGGAAACCATGAGCCCAAAGTTCGACGGCAGTTTTTGCTCGCCCTGAGCAGGACTCGCTGTCGGCGTCACTGCGGTCGTTGTTCACTTGGAGGCGCTCGGGGGTGCAAGAGCGGCCGCTGCCGGTGCTGGACAGCAGCTGCTGTTGGGTATCGTGCCACCCGTCCGGGGCTCATTTCGGCTCCTCCGATCTCGATTGGGTCCGAGTTCGAGGGGTTCCGATCCCGCTCCGATTCGACTTCGGATTCCGACTCGACTTCTCCCGACTTGGCTGCCGACTCCCGCCGATCCGATCCATTCCGAGCGCCGATCCGACTTCTCGATCCGGTTCCGCGCTCACCCCTGCCCATCTGGGGCCTGCCCTTCCCCCTCGCGGGCCCGCCGCTGCCCCCCCCCGTCCCCGGTCCTGGAGGCGTAGGACGTGTACGCGCACCTCTGAGTCCCACTCCCCTCCTGGGCCGTTTGATGTCACTGCACATGCCCTGGCAGTGTTGGGTTTTTTCATATTGATCACTACGTGATGGCGGAAATCCTGGAAATCCATCTCGGGCTCCCCCTCCCCCTCCCCTCCACCCCCCGCCCGAGGGGGGGGGGGAGCGCCAGCAGGCCGGGCGCGCTCGCGTCATATTTGGCGTCCTGCCCCATCCCTCCCATCCCTTCTCACTGCTCAGAGCGAGCCGCTCTCGATACGCTGTGTTCGATGGCGGAGAGGACAGCGATCCCCGGCGGGTGCGCAATGCATAACATGGCATAGCATTGTGTAGTCAAGCGTTGCATATCGTAGCATTGCAGCGCAAGGCACGGCATCGCATAGCGGTGCATGACATAGAATTGCATGGCATGCCATCGCATTGTTTGGCATTGTGTAGCTCTGCGTTACATGTCACTGCGTTGCGCGGAAAAAAAAAGGAATGTCATCGTATACTAGTGGCACATAGCATGGTATTGGATGTCAGAGCTTGGTTAGAAGAGCAGTGCAGTCAGAGGCCAGTGTTGTAGCGGGAACACCATTTGGAAGGACCGACAAATGCGGAAATTAGACCGACATGTGGAAAGTAAACCAAAAGCGGGAATACCATTCCGAAGGACCAAAAGGTGGGAAATGATGCTAGCGCTAGCACCATTTTTCGAAGGCCTGGGAACGATCGGATTGCATGAATGCGCATGAAAGACCAACGTTTGAAGTCTTGCGTGTGGAAAACAGGACGCGGAGGGGGTGGGGCATCTTCCAGACAGGGTCATGTGTAATTGTGAAAGGATGGATGGTGGATCGGGGAAACGGAAGACTCGAGTTCACTGGAGCTCGGGTCTGCCGACTGTTTTTGACGGGCCTGTGCTGCATTTTAACGGTCCAGGTTTCGTAGCATGTCTGCGGCGGGAGTTCGTGTCTAATTTCAGACCGGGACTCCTCATTTCCTTGATGACCCCATCGGACCAACCCAGGCGGCGAGCGAGGGGGCTTCTCGGAAGGCTCGGAAGTCCCTTGGCTTTTGAGGAGTTTTCGAGGCCTTCCCCGAAGACGCAACGAATCTCTCAGAAGGCGCGAGGGCTTCGGAGAGGTCCCGCCGCCTGCTGAGAAGGCCTTCTCCTTTCGCGTCCCCTCCGGGCCTGCCGCCGAAGACCGGGTCCCCCGAAACCGAGTCTGACGTTCCGAGCAAATCATGCTGGGCCTTTGGATGAGCCTTCATGAGCCCATTTTCCACCACCACTACCAGATGTAGGAGAGGGCGGAGGAGGAGGAGGAGAAGGAGGAGGAGGAGAAGGAGGAGGAGGTGGACCTCCTTATCCTGCCTTCTCCCTCGTCCTACATCTGGTGGTGGTGATGGAAAATTTGCAAGATTCTTCAGGCTTGCGCCACATCCGCCGACCCCTTAAATGCGCTCGAGCAAGACATGTCTGACGCTGTTGAACGAGCAGGCGGAAATGTCGGGTGCACAGAAGAAGCACAATTCATCCGGGGAGAGGCTCTGTCGGAAATGCGCGGAGGGGCGAGCGAACGAGGTGCGACGTGACGTGCGCGGCGTGCGGAGGAGCGTTCTCGGACACGAAACATTTGCAGCAGCAACAGGTGGGGAATCATCAGAAAGCGACAGGAGCGGCGCGTGCAAGAGAAGATTACCGAAGTCGCACAGGTCGCATGTCACGCCACCGTGCCTGGGTTGTGGGTCTGAGGCTTGTGCGATGTTCGCTGGGATCTCTGGGGAGGCATCTCGCAGGTTTCGTGGAGGCAGTTTCGAAGTTCACTGATAGCCGTTTTGGGGCCTCTTGGGGCATCTTTTGGGCTTCTCGGACGCTTTTTGGAAGTCTTTTGGGGGTCTCTTGGGACCTTTTGGGCGGCTCTTGGGGTGTCCCAGGGCCAGGTGGGAGCGGAGGGCTCGGATTTTCGGTTCGGGCTCCGCCGCTGGGGCCCCTCTAGGAGCCGTCTTGGGGCTCTTTCGGGCCGATTCGGGAGCCTTTGGGGCCGTCTTGGCGCCGTTTTGGGTCGTCTTGGGCGCCTTTTGGGACCTTTTTGGGACGTCGTGGGGTGGCCTAGGGGGCCTCTTAGACCGGCTGCAACTCCGTGCAGGCTGAAAAGTCGTCGATGCTAAAAACGTACGTTTCCCAATGGAAAATCCATGATTTTCTCTGCTTTGGAACTTCTTGGAGCGCCCCTTCGGGGCCTCTTGGAGCGTCTTGGAAGCATCGTGGGCTGTCTTGAGCCCATATTGGGGAAATCTTGGGGCCACCGAAGGCCACGTGGAGGTCCTCTTGAGCCGTCGTGGTGCGTCCCGGGGCCATTTCGAGGCCACCGGAGGAGTCCCTGCAGGATTTTCAGGACCGGATGACCCCCCCGGGGGAACCGGGGAAACGGTGAATTTGAACAGACCCCCCCCCCCCTTCCAAATCGACCGGACCGGGCTACCGGGGGAGGGGTTTGGGGAGGGGGAAGATCTCACACGCCGATGAACCCCAAGGGGTCGGCGGATTCAAATATGTTTCTATCATGTGTTGCTACCTTTGCATATTGCTTAAACTAGTTTTAAATGTTCGTCCAAACTCTGCCTGTAGGAGGACGTGCCCGACCTAAGGTTTGGGCTGTGGGGGGGGGCCTGTAGCCAACGGGTTTGGGGGCCCACGCGCTACCTCGCTGCGCCTTCCGCGAACACATAGAGCATAGAGAGACCCTGCAGGCAAGCGGCACCTGCAGGAGCCCGGCGCAAGCAGCGCTTCACTGGTGGCGGCGTGTGGCACCGCAGTGCTCTGCGTGGCACGGCATCGTCTTGCAGTTGGCACTGCCTGGCGCTACGCGGCATTGCTTCGCGTCGCTCGGCGTCATGTTGCCCGGCAGCTTCCTGGCATGTTGGCATTGCTTGGCGTTGTTCGGCACCGTTTGGGACAGGTTGATGGCATTGCTTCGCATTGCTTTGCGCTGCTTGGCCTTACTTCGCATTGCATTTAGCTGCATTGCGTTGCTTGGCGATCCGACGACAAGGCATCCCTGGCAATCGTGCAAGCAGGCAGCCTGGGCACCACGGGCAGCCAGACATTTAGGCTTGTGGTTGTTGGGCCACGGGGTATCACCGATCGCGTTGCCCTATTCGCGACGTGCCCACTTACAAACGTCAGAAAAAGAACAAAACAAACAACAACAAACATGTCTGCGTCGATGTGGTGTATCGTAGATCCTCCGCGGCGGATCTGGGCCCTTCGCGAGCAGCCACCCGTTGCGGGTCGTGGAGCGCGCTCGGCCAGGGCAGCCCCTGAGGGAGGCCGTGCGCAGCCCGAGGGAGGGCGGGCAGCCCGAGGCAGATCTTTACCAGCCTCGAACGTATCCCTATCCCTAAGATTGACACGCCAAAAGGCGATGACAATCTTAGGGATTCGCCTTCGAAAAATAAGGGAATCCCAATGATTGGCATCGTGATGAGGAGGTGCCCAGCATAGGGATAGGGATATGTTCCAGGCTGGTATGATCTGGGCAACCCCGGGCAGAACTTGAGGAAGGCCAGGCAGCCCCACGCAACCCTTGTGATGTTCCAACCTACCTTACACGCCGGTCGTTGAAAGCAAGTATTTTTGGATTCCCAGATCCCGAGCTACTTCAAGCGCCTGCCTACCTCAAGAATCGACACGCTCTTGCCGTGTGTTGTTATTATGTGAGGGGGCCTGGACCCAATCCACTTAATCCGCCTTCCCACTTCATGTTTTCACCTACTTCTTCCGACCGGCGTGTATGATGTTCCAACCTACTTTAGCATTGACCACCTGAAAGAATTTCGAGCATCAGAAAAGTACCCAACATCTCGCGGGTTTTCACGTGTCGAGCCCTGGGAGACACTCGTCCGACACTGTTTCGACACTCTTTCGAGCCCGCCCCAGGCAGCCCCGCCCCCCGCCCTCCAACACTGGATCTAAGAAACCCTCGGACGAGCCTAAATCTGGGAAGGTGGTCAGAATCCACAGTAGTAGGGGAACGAACAATGACACAAGCATAAAAGCTCTGAGGTCCGCGCGGGTTTTTC